GCCCACGCCCCGTGACTGTCACCAACACCCACCCGCGGACTTTAACATGCATAGCTTCGGCAGCGACTCACTACCTGGTGCGTATGTTTTTCTTGTTCATGTTTTTCACTGTTAAACACAGGATAAATGCATAATATTTCATCAAAAGGGCAGAACAAAATCGAACAATTTACATTACTTAACGGATTATAGGCCCACCACACTGTTTTTTTTTTAAATTATTATATTTATTTCAAGTAGAAAAATCACAAAACAACATCGACTAAACGACAAACGGGATTTACATTAAACAATTGAAAATTGCATATAGGTGAATTTTTTAAAGAATATGTGTTGTAGATGGATTAAATTATGTTCCTCAATTTCTCCAGCAAAAATGTTGCGTTGTACACTGTACGCTTTAAATTCATAATAATCAAGCGCTTTGTTCGAAATTGCCCGATAAATACCAGTGTACTACCTACCCATTATGAAGGCATGAATTTATAAAGGGGTATAAGCTGATAACCAAATTATCGAGTTAATCACATTGTCTACATATTTTTCGTATTTTTGTTTATTAACTTTCGTACACCACCATCTGCACTATATCGCTTGCCCGATAATGATAACAAAATTTCAATTATCTTATGAACATGTTCACTACGATTTTTTTTTATATTTTTTATTTAGAATACCATAGTAAGCTCGTTAACTAAACATTTTTTATTGTTATTGTTGACGATCGGTTCGTTGACAACTCATCAAAGAAGTCACATAAATACATCAAATTAGTCAGGTAGTGGTAAATTTGTATGGAAAAAATATGTTATTTGAAAGAACCAATGCAAGAGCTGATGCATTGAACGCAACTGCCATTTACACGAAATAATTGACCAAAAGCATGGACTCAAGACTTTTTCCTGCAACTTGAATGGTAAAAATGTATCTTCCTAGTTTCCGATCATCCATGTATTAATTCAACCGTATTTTGAAGTTCAAATCATATCGTTGTTCGTTGAAAAATGTTATTCTCCTGATAGATCAGTATAATATAATCCAACGGTGCATTATTTGCTTCGGTTGATTTCACAAGTTGCGGATCGACAGCAAAGCAGGGAAGACTTAAAGGCTTAAAAAAGTTTTTTTTTCTTTTCAACAAAGAGCTGCACTTTACAGAACAAGCAATGAAATCTCTGTAACAATCCGTGCGTCGGTGGATTTTGAAATAATACACTTTTGCCGATTTTATTTTAAAACTTGAAGCATCACTAGGGATTATCACGTGCTCGTTAATCCAAAATAAATCATTCAACAAAAAACCACTTACACCGACATACACTTAATTTTATTGTAACATTATTGTTCGTACTTGCAATAAATTGCAACAAACACTCATTTGGATTTTTCTCGATCTCTTCAAGCCAATCAGCACTGATGGAATTCAACTCGGCTGGCTGCTCATTTACACAATAACCATCCTCTCCGGGACCTACATTTTCTCCGCAAATGAAAATCGCTCCAAGGCACCGGAGAAGATTTCGCGTTAACCCGAGATGTATATGAGTACCAAACTTTTGGTACACGTTAATTTGACTCGGATGGCAATATGAGGGCATGACGCTGTCGAGAGTGCTGAGGGGGGCCGAGGGGGGCCGAGGGGGGCTGAGAAAAATAAAGAGGTCAAACAGTAGTTACAAAACTGCGGCTGAAGTAGATTTACCAGCCGCCAAGTTGTATGAAACTTTGCTCGCCGATTCTATTACGGAACTTGGTAATCATTTTTTTTCCCACCTCAGGGGCGGGGAGGGGGGGGTGGGGTTAAAAACAAAACTTTCAACTTGATACTTGTAAAAGTTGCACCCCAGTTAAATAAATAAAAATGACACACGGCAACTTTTTTTTCCTGCGATTGTTGAAAATGTTTTAACGAATTGACTCGGAGCCACACTTCATACACCCCTGGAGATTGTTAACGAACAAGTTTCTCATGCGCGAACGCAACTTTGCCGCGTAAATGTTGGCTCGAGAGATCCGCGCGCTCCTTGGCTGCATATATATACATATACCTACCACGTGGTAATCATATACCCCGCAGTTGTACGGTATCGTTAAAAAAGTTTTAACTGTTTCGCGATACGAAGTAGTTACAGATATAGTTTGACGAGTAGTGCACAAACATTGATTATTATTATTGTTACTTTTCATCCCCACATCAACGTAAAATTATCATCATCACCGCGATCATTCGAGCATGCAAGTTTATCCACTTAATTAGCTTTACGGTGATAATAAGCTCGTCGTCGTCGTATGCAGTATTCAACAGTTTGCTTGCAGTGTTTAATAACCAAATTACTGGGGCAGTAGGTAGCGCTGCCAAACTCGTTTTAATCCAGCCATCATCTCGTGGGTACGTGCACGTATCACTCACTTAATAATAATACGAGTAAAAGCTTCATTAATTAATTAATTTTTTTTTTTCATCAAGATTTTTTACTAACAAACTGTAAAATGAGGATAAAAAAGTAATTTTTTTTTTAATTTTTAAAAACAACTGACCGAAAAAAAAAACGGTCAAGCTTACCTGGGCAATCGGCGACAATTACCGCATGAGGAGCGCCTCAATGGCGTTAGCCCTCGAAAATTGATAATAGATTGGTCTCAGTCCAGTGATGATTTCGCGGCTGAGCATCGGTAAAAAAAAAGGGATTAATCCATGCCACTTTTTTCCCCGCTAGATTCGTATACGAGGCACCTAATAAATCGCTTCCCCCGATCGTCCGGCAGATTTATCGGCCCGAGCGGATTTATTTTTTCCCTCGTAGTGACGAATGTTTGCCGGATGATGCTCATTCAGTACGGCACCTCCGTAATTTTCAATACCAAAGTGCGGTCGAGAGCTTGTGCCATTTTTTTTTTTTCTTCTCATTCGAGCTTTTTCTAAATGGCAGGCAAGGATTACTTTGACAGATTGGCTCTTATCTTTTGATCATAGTGTTGATAGATCATGCAATGAATAAATTTAAAAAATTTCCATCATAGATGTAATATTATATCGTGAAAAAGAAAAAAGATCTCCGAGATTACTCGACCATTCAAGTATATGACTGTTGACTGGGTTTGATTGAAGGTTTCGTTGAACTAAATTCTTAAAAAAGATTAAAAAAAAAAAAAAAAAAAAAACGCAGCTCCAATATTCATTTGAATTGTTTGGAAACATCACTTTTAAAAATTAATACAGCCCATGATGCAGTGGGTTATTATTGAGTGACATTTACTTTTAATACATCAAACAAATGATCAAACGCTCACCCATCGTCAGAAATCGCAGTCGTGAAATTTCCACGCGGCTGGAAAACGAAATGCTTTCAAACGGATTAAAAGCCCACGGCGATCAATGTATACACATATTACACAAGTATATATTATATACGTGTACGAAAGCAGCGAAATGCGCATCGAGTCACCGCCGGATAAACAAAAGCGAGAGAACAACCCGAGCGTCTTCCCCCAAGGGAGAGCGAGGAGGGGGAAAAAAAAAGTTGCACGTCCCACCAACCCCCGCAGCTCCGTCGCCAGCAGCAAACACGCCGACTTTTAACGTATTTCCTTTCTCGCATCCGAAGACTATCAGCTGCACTCCTCCCCCCCCCCGTGCCCCTCCTTCTACTGTTGTCGTTCACTCGTGTGGCTTTAGAAGAAAACTGCGTGTACCAATGTTGAATTTCAACGGGGCCACAGAAAAGAAGCTCCCCATTTATTCCTTGATCGATGGCAGCACGTCACAGGACTACGGGATACAGGCTTTTCGTCAAATTGAATCGGCGCGCTGAATAACAGGCCTGTGGCGTGGGCGTGATGTGGCCAAAAAATCTATTCCACGTGGTAAATTCATCCAAGAACCATCTAAAAATCTCATTAAGATGAAACATCGTGTATTTTTAAAAGGGGAAAGCTGAACCAAATGAGCCCAAGTTCGTGTTTATAATGATTTGGTTTAAGAAGCTCGACGTCTGAAAATGGTGTACAGTATATTGGTACCGAAACAGCCATGACATTGTTTTTCAATGAATGGCAGATATTTTTATATAAAATGAACGAGCCGAGAAACGGTGATCTCCGCATGTGATCTCGAAAAAGCGCGCCTTGGAAGTAAAAGCTCCGTTAATCGGCTTTGTCCAGAACACAGCGGTATTTACTTGAAAATTCAAGATTTTTTATTTTTTTTAAATTTTATTTCATTTAGGCACGCATCCACATTAAAAACCCTCGTCTCCACATGGATTTTCACACCCGAACCGCAAAGCTCAAGCGGATTTACCGAAAGCTCACGAAGGAACAAACAATCATTGAGACGAAATTCCCAAATGGCCCATCGCGAACTATAATTTATTTCTCCACTCAACTTACAGATTTCGGTATCAATTTCGAGGAGCGTACATAATAACGACGAGGCACCGCGTTCTCCTCGATCGTATCGATATAGCTTCCAACCCCAACAACCCCTTACATATACATATATATATGTGCGTACAACGGTTATCGAAGCCCGCACACATCGAGGGGTGTAAGACTGACCAGCCACGTTTTTCCCTTTGCAGAGGAAACAATAAGGAGGAGGAGGAGAAGGAGGAGGAGGGGCGTCTTTGGCGGAACAGCCGGAGCAGGAGCGACACCGATGCTGCCCGCGTTGTCGAGGAGGAGCGTCGCGGCAGAGCAACAGCTCGTGGGATGTAGTTGACGTCGCCCGAGGTAGGGTAAGGGTCGTCCGGGGCTGGAGCCGGCCAGGACGAAGGAGTAAGGAGGTACGGGCGGTGCTGCCTCGGCGTATACATACGTTGTTGTGACCATCATAGCGCGAGAGCAGCCCCCCGCTGCGCTGTGCCGCTGCAGAGACGGGCAGTCACGAAAACTCTGGCGGCGGAAGGGGCCGCAGGAGGAGAAGAAGAAGAAGCCGTGGTTGTGGTGGTGGTAACGTTACCTGGTGGGGGCGGTGCGGGCGACAGAGGCAGCGGTTTATCATGAATGAGATGCTGCTGCTGGAGGTGTCGAGCCAGCTGCCGTTGGACGCCCTGAACGCGAGCCTCGACAGTAGCGACGTCGTGAGTAACTTGACTCAAATCGAGGACGACAAGCCCGTTAGGTACTACAACCTGTGGCAAACGGTCTTCATCGTCATCATCTCGATCGTATTGAGCTTCGTGACGGTGGTCGGCAACCTCATGGTCATGGTCAGCTTCAAAATCGACAAACAATTGCAGACCATATCGAATTATTATTTGTTCAGTTTGGCGGTGGCCGACATTGCCATAGGGGCCATATCGATGCCGTTGTTCACGATTTACACGGTTATGGGTTATTGGCCCCTCGGCTCGTTGGTCTGCGACACTTGGTTGGCCCTTGATTACTTGGCCAGCAACGCCTCGGTCCTCAATTTGCTCATCATCAGCTTCGACCGGTACTTCTCGGTCACCAAACCGCTCACTTACAGGGCCAAGAGGACCACCGGTAGGGCCGGATTCATGATCGGTAAGCCACCATCATATATACAACACGTTGCACCCCACATTTATTCATTATTTTTTCATCTCAACAAACCACTCGTATATATACTTCTTTCGGTGTTACTCGCATACTCTTTGTCCAACTGTACGTTACGAAAAAAAAAAAAAACAAGTTTTTTAACTCGATGGTTACACACGCGCACAAAGCTTCGTTTCAATAAGAAAATCGCAATTTGAAAAACCGATGGATAACCGATTTGGTTTAAAGGGTCGATTATTCGTTTATTGTCATTTTATGTTTTACTGGCTACTTAAACTTGAGACGTACCTTTAAATTATTAGAGACCCGTCAATTTTTCAACGACTCATTTTACCGATCTCAGTACAAGTTGAGTAAAATGGCTACCACTGATTTCTCTTTTTTTTTTTTTTTTTTTTCATTCCATAAAAATGGCTTGATGAAAGACAAACGTTTTCCATTGTGCCGTCAAATTACCTTTTTTGCCCCCCTAGAGATAGAGCTCGAAAAACGTACGCACAGAATCCACCGGTTTTTATTTGGAATCGCAACACACACAAACAAACAAACAAAATATTCATTTGAAAAAAATTAAAAAAAGAAAAAAACACGAAAAAAAAACGAAAAAAAAAAAAACCAGGGGCGGCATGGGGCGTTTCGCTGCTACTGTGGCCACCGTGGATCTACGCGTGGCCGTACATCGAGGGCCAGCGCACTGTACCCGAGCGCGCGTGCTACATCCAATTCATCGAGACAAATCACTACATCACCTTTGGCACGGCGATAGCCGCGTTTTACGTGCCTGTATCGATAATGGCCTTTCTGTACTGGCGCATCTGGGGCGAGACGAAAAAACGCCAAAAGGACCTGCCGAACTTGCAAGCCGCCGAACACGGCGGCAGCAAGCCCGACGCGAGCAAGCGCAGCAACTCGAGGTTGGTCTCCTCATCCCGCGTCGCGCTCTCGTATGTATTTACTTTCACATCCCCTAATATTATTACTATTATTGTTGTTATTATCTATGTGTGTGTTTATATATTATGTATATGAATACTTTATTGATGTCGTGTTTTGTTATATGTATATAAACGCTAGCTTTTGTGTATACATTATATCTGTACTGGGTGCCATGCAAGTGTATAGATTTTACATTGTACGTATACATAGATTAATTAAAGTCGTATTGGGTGTGCGTGTTATAGGTACTCTTGTTTGTTGTTGACGTCTTTCGATATTGTAGGATAGTGTCGAGGATGGATCATTTATTCGACTGTACGTAATTTCACAAAAATTGTTCACCCGAGAGTTTCCCAAAGTTACGTTGCTTCCAAATTTTTCTGATTATCTGGAAAAATAGGGAACAAAAAATCAATTAAAAAAAAATTCGATTTTTTTTTTTCATTGTTTAAGTAATGAAATTAAATTTACATACGTTAACATATCTTTAAACAATAATAACGTAGTCAGTTTTGAATAAAGTAATATAAATCTACGACACTTTCATTAATTTTTTTTAATACAGAATTTTATAAAACATCCTCGAAAATACATACCATTAAATAGTTAAATAACAATTTTTTTTTTTAATATTTGGGAACTTGCTACTAAAGAATTTATGTGGAATTCATCGTGTATGTATGCACCTGCAAAAAAGACGGAAATTGTGTGAGAAAACGAAAATGCGCAGATAGTTAGATGCATTGGTATTGCTAAATTAAGCTGAAATAAAAAATAAAGAGCAATTTAATGATGTAACAAATAAAAAGTTTTCGACTAAAGGATATTGTAAATATAATGTATTAAAAGTTTTTTCTTGGTGAAAAAGTATATAATCACTTATCTGACGAAATTCACTCGAAAACATTAAGCTTCTGACTCTTGCGGAGCACATAACATATATTGTAATAATAGAAAAAATAATAAAACTTATTCTGTACCACTTTTCGTAAAAGTTTTTAAAGAATTTTTCGTTAAAATAATTTTATAATTCAGTTTTTTAATGAAAATATTTGCTTTTATGTCGCAATTCACTGACGTGGTACTGAAATTTTATTTTTTCATAAAACTTTGACGTATCGATATTCTCTTACAGTTGGGAGCTTACATTTTTTTTTTTTTTTTTTAATGTACTTTGTCAAGGAAAGGGTCTTAAGTTTTTTCTTCCACCGGAGAAGTTTCATACATTACCTCGTCGGTAAATTCCTTTTAGTCTGTGCTAAAAAGACATCTGAAATAAAATTTTTAATAATACAATACGAGATGATGGTTTCTCATCACGAAGGTACAAAATCTAGAATTTTAGTATTGGATGTATATTAGAAAAAACCATCATATGACACACTGTTCAAAAACTGATCACACAAAAGTCACACACAGTGAAGATTTACACATCATTCACACGTATAGGTGAAACTAGTGCTCCGTCCTTTTAATCGATACATATGCATGTACATACACCAAAAATAAGAACTACTCATTTTGTATTGCATTGTTATACTTTTACAAATGATAAAGCTATTGAAAAATAGCTTTAAGTGTTTTTAAGGCTTGGTTTGATTATACGTGTATTTTTTTTCACTAGTAAATGATCATAAAATATTAGCAATAATGTTAATAATAATAATTCATTTAGTATTGAATTTATTGGATACACACAGTAAATAAAGATCGATCCTTTAAAAAACAGAGGATCGCGTGCAACCGGTAAACTTATATGAAACAAAAATATATACATGGTCGCAACTGTAATTACACGAATGTTGGGTAAAATTTGACCCTTTATTCACTCCGGAACGCACAAAAGTCCACTCGCACGAAATCCAACACTTTTTCCCGAGCAGCCTTTGAAAAAAAAACCTGCAATTGTCATCTGGCACGTGCACACACGCGACACCGCACACACGTGCATTCACACCTGCAGGGTTGAAAAGTAACATCAGCCAAACCTGCCCCGTGTACATTCGACAGAGAGAAAGAGAGCGCGTCGCGAGTACTTTTCATCCAATAAATCCAACTATGCGCAAAAAAAGTTGTGCGATGCAACGCCACTCACTCCGCCTCCTCGGCTCTCGTTCCGCGTAAAAAGCCAAGCTATGATGAACCCATACGGGGCGGAGATGAATTTCGAGCAAAGAGGGGAAAAAAAAAAAAAAGAAAAAAGAAAACAAAGCTCGAGCCATATGCCCCGTGCGCATGGAAAAAAACGTATGCGAGCGCGCGCGGTCACTTCAGGGCAATATATTTTCCCGCGAACGGCAAGTGGTGTGGGTGGGAGTAAAGAATTTTCCCGTGAAAGAGCCGAGGAGCCGGAGGAGGTATTTTTTAATAGCCAAAGTAACATATGTGTCCGATTCCATTGGATTTTTACACGCGCGCCGCAGTGACGACGCGCTCGATGGTATGGAGGACGGCAAGAGGCCGCGCAGCGAGTCGAGCACCGGACCAAACGACGAGGTCAACTCCTACGTCGACAGCAGTTACCCGCAGCACAGGGTAAGTACGCGTTATTTACCCCCCTCGCCTTTATTTATTTTTTTTTTTTTTTGCTCGGCAACACTTTAAAGGTTTCATTATTTTAAATGAGAAATTTTCATTGGAGTAGGTTTGTTGGCCAAAGCCGATCGATGGGTAGGATCTGCGAATAAATGAAGCATATTTCGATTTGTGTTATCATCCCTTTGAAATTTTCATACCCTCTTATGGTTGAAAAAAAACTTACAGAAGCACGCACCGCTGTCGTGGACGTGGCTGAAGCAATGGTGCGTGGCCTGGTGGCACAGCGGCCGCGAGGACGAGGACGAGGAGGAGGACGAGGACGAAGTCGGGGGGCCGGAGAGTAGCCGGACGGGGGCCGTGTACGACGAGACGTTGACGCCGATATCGATGGAGACGCACGTGCCGAGCTACATATCGCGCATAGACTCGTTTCCCCAGTCCGACAGTTTGACTTTTGGTAGCTGTCGGCCCTCGATGTTGGACCAGGAGACGGTGGACTACGTGAATGTCAGGCCCAGCAACAGTAGGGTGCAGACGCCCGGGACCACCAGCTCGGCCAGTTTCTCCAGCAGGAACATTCCTAACGACACGGTGAGGATATTTTCTTTTCTTTTCTTTCTTTTTTTTCCTTAGCTCCAACTCGTTGACTTACCCGCTTTTTTTTCTTTTTATTATTTTTTGCAATCCCACCCTCTTGAGCGAACAATTGGCTATTTCCAGACAAACTGGCTCATCGATATCAGAAGACGCTCTTGCGTCTGGCATTTTTCGGAAATCACGCTTCCTAGTTTTTTCTTCGATCTTTTTACATTTTAGGATCGGTTCCTTACAAAAATACACGTTTCAAGCGTTTTTTTTTTTTTTTTTTTTTTCCTGAACTTGTTAGATACACAGGTAATGTATCGTAGACTTGGTTGATCTTAAAATGCTCGTCAACACTTACGTCTGTGTTTTGTATAAAAAAGGAGGAATTTCAACACGTATGGATTTACGGTAAAAAAAAAAAAAAAAAAAAAAAAAAAAAAAGAAAAAGAAAAAACAAAGCCAAGCCGCGTCATAATTTTCCATATTTCGTACGTATTTGCTGCGCGATGGTCCCATCGCTCAATTCGACACGTTGAGCGTAACAAACATTTTCCTCGAAATATAAATTCGTGTGTTCGCAGTGATGGATATCGCAAGTTATACTTTTACCCAAACATGGAATATGCATTCGACCTCACGTTTTATCGATCCCGCGATTTGTGGGTACTTCCCCTCCCTTCCAAAAAAAAAAAAAAAAAAAAAACAACATTTAGTTCTATATTAACGACCGGTGCAGCTGATGAGGAATAAAAAATAAAACCTCATATTTATCCTTGTCGGGAATGATAAAAAAAAAAAAAAAACTTTGAAAGAAATATCAAGAGATACGTTATACGTGCAAGCTTTTATTTTTTGCCAATAAACACTGACGACTGACCTCATGGGTAATAATATCATGTTTTTCATCATAAAAATAAGTATCTATTTATTTGCAAACATGCGGCTTTGTCCAAATACTTTTTGTTCGACAGGTAACTCCATACGATCAAACACCATTTTTCCGCATACAGTTTTTACAGGGTACCGATTTTTCGATATGCATGGAAAAATAATGCCGATTTCGCGTGTACGCGTACACGTGGAAAGACAAAAAAAAAAAAAAAAAAAAAAAAACAAAGCCGCCCGATCGAAAGAGCCATCAGTAATGCAGAAACGAAGAAGCATATATTATGCAATCACATGTACGTTATACGCATCGATGGTGGGGAGTAAATGCTAGCTGATTCAGACTCATGGGGTTGAAAAGCATCGATTTTCAAAAGTACTTTTGTTTTTCTCGAATTTTGCGGTGGTATAGCTCTTACTAGCAAAATAAACAAAGCCCTCGTGCTCTCAGGATCATTATGCTTTATCCGCTGTAGTATTTACAAAAAAAAAAAAGACCCTCCAAGATACCCATGTACTTCATCTTCTATGGGTACAGAACTACTTTCAGCACCTTTTCAAACGAAAAAAAAGAAAAAAAAAATCCTCACCAGTTTTATTTTTGCCCCAAACTCCGAACAATGTATCTCTTCCCCCCATCCCCAACCAAGCTCCGATATTTCGAACGCGAAAATCAAATTACCAGGGCACCGAATGAAACGGACGAAATCGACGCCACGAATCTCTCGAGCACATGCGCGTTTATTATTGCAGTAAGTATACCGATCAGTGCCAGATTGAGTGAGGCAAAGCACCGTTAGACAGACTGAAATGGCGATAAGCGGCTTAAACTCCTTTTTCTCCTGCTTGTATATTACGTACGTGCTTGCGTATATATATATATACATGTGTACGTGGGGTATTCTGGTATATTCGATTGTTCTCTTGACTCTTTATTATTGCGCGAATTAACGTAACAATATTTTGATGTTCGATTTGGGACTCTACAAAGAAAAGAGGCGGTGGACGAGGGGCAATACGTGCAAGTAACGGAGTTAAAATATAATCGCGACAATATTTTTCTTTGATGATCAATTTTCACTTTGCGTTTCATCATTATGTAAACCCTTTTTTTGTTGACGCCGAAAATTATTATATAAAAAAAAGGCACAATAACGTAAAAAACCATTGAGCAATAAAACATCACGGAAAAATCGCTTGGAAAAAAAAAAAAATTATATATACGTATATAAATTTCATTCCCGTAGCATCCAACGGACGTCTAGCGTACACGTTTTCACCAAATAAAAGTCAAATCGATCGATCGATTAAAAAAGAAAAGAAAAAAAAGACTATTTTCCCGCGCTAAACAAAAAGAAAAACCATACCGAGGAAAAAAAAAAAAAAAAAGCATCAACCCCCCGCTCTCGTTCGCTAAGGAGCTTCACTCGTGGCATCCTTTAATTAATTAACCAAACCATCATTCCGTGCAAGCTCTCTCTGCGCGCGCCCTGATTCCATGCACTGGCCAATTACCCGCGCGACGAGCTTATCACTCCGCCTCCTCGTGTGCCCACAATACACACCTGCAACAACAAACACAGCCCTCCACTCCTACGAGATCTCGGATAGGGGGGGGGGGGAGAATGTATAGCTTCCGGGGAAAAACAAATTTTCCCAGAGTACCGTGCAGTATGTGTATGTGTGAGCGCAGCGTGTGGAGTGTACACGTGTATATATACAACAAGGGGGAAATTCCCAGGCCTCGCTTCAACCCGAGGCTGTGCCCCGTCCTTCCTTCGCCGATAATACGTATACTTAAACGCGTGATGCATCGCGTATCGTCGGGATACAGTTGACGGGTATAAAGTAAGATCGCTTTGCTCTTTTCTGTGTGTACACACTCGGTACGACTTTGTCGATCTGATCGAATAGGTGTACAGGGAATTATGTGTTTCTGTGTACCGAAAGCGGCTGGACGTTCGCCAAAACTTTTGACGGCCCTTCAAATTTTTTTTTTTTTTTTCCTACCCTTGCAGTTGTATAGTGTAGGCCCAGGCTCGATCCGTCCGTGTAGCTCATCTTTTTATTTTTCCCTCTTTGTCACGTGTGTCAGCCACAGTTTTTATTGTCCCCGCCGTACCCATTTGGCCGCAGCACTTGAGATTCCCAACAAACCCGGGGTCCATAGCCAAACATGCTCTTTTTTCCTTTCTTCCCCCCCCCCCCCCCCTCCTTTTTTTAGGGTGCATTTATCGTCAACTCTTCTTTTCTGCTGCTTCGATTGCAGATGTTATGTATGCACCGCTATAGGTATACGTTTTAGTGTAGTGCACATGGGTGCCGGAAAAAAGAGGGATAGAGAAATCGATACGCGGCTCAATAACAGTTTTCGAGGGTAAAAAAAAAAACAAAACAAAACAAGCGACTTTATTGTAAGCGCCAATTACGTATTCTGTTACGTGCAATTCCTTTTTTTTTTTTTGGGTACGATTATGAATAGGAGAGGATTACACACAGATGCGCAAAATAACACAAAAGTAGGAATATAATGGTGGGATATCGACACCGGGACGCTATACGTATATACAACAGCGATGCGATTTCAATGTAATTAATTTTATGAGCAACGATCGAATCAACCGGACAATACGTGCACGCGTAACGCATTATACGCGCGTAATCGGCAGAGCAACGGGGACGGACGCGATGAACGCAATTACACTAATTAACCAGCTCGACATCCGGTTGGGGAGTTGGAGCATGGACGATCGATACTTGGGGAAAAAAAAAAAAAAAAAAATGACGCAAGTGGACATTGTGCCATTGTCTGTTGCAGGTGTACACGATAGTGATAAAGCTGCCGAGCGCACCGGGGCGCGTCGGCAGCAGGGAGAGCCAGGCCCTGAGCAGGTACAGCTCGGCCTCGGAGTCGACCCAAGCCAGCATAAAGATGTACGCCGAGGACATGATAAGCTACGTGCCGAGCCGTTACGACGAGACGGGCAGCACCGGGCCCGTCCAGGAGACCTCCATGTCGATAAGCTACGTGCACGACGACCGGCCGCGCCGGCTATCCCAGATGCACCACCACGACGCCCGCATGCCCCTCAACGCGAAGAGCATCGCCAAGCCGTCAAAGCCGGTGGCCAAGCAACAGGTCAAGAAGAAGAAAAAGTCCCAGGAGAAGAAGGCCGACAGAAAGGCCGCGAAAACCCTGTCGGCCATCCTCTTGGCGTTCATCATCACCTGGACACCCTACAACATCCTCGTCCTCGTCAAACCATTGACAACCTGCACTGGCTGCATACCCCAGGAGTTGTGGGACTTTTTTTATTACCTGTGCTACATCAACAGCACCGTCAATCCGGTCTGTTACGCCTTGTGCAACGCCACCTTTCGACGCACCTACATGCGCATACTCACCTGCACCTGGAACAAGAGGCAGAGGACCGGGGTCAATCGGGCCTTCTGAGAGACTTTGCTTGTGCGCGCTTGTGTATACGGTCACACCTACCTAACTTACGGTGTATGGCCATCTTCTTCTTCTTCTTTTTTTTCTCTCGTCGTATCCCTCGCCCGGTGTACGGGTATGTCACCCCGATTACCCACGTGCAGTGCAACACCGACGCTTTTTTCTATACCTTTCGTCCGATACCCCCAACTCCCCGCCCCCGCCCCTCCAAAAACTACTATAAACGACCCGTGGATTCTTACTGTGCCAAAACGAGAATCGTTGACACTGGACATTATCAACCTTGTACATAATGATTATTCATTGTACACGCATTGTTTATAAGTATTATCATCACGTTAACTCTCACTATATATTGTTATTATTACTACCACTACGACTAACGTATAATTATACATAGGTACCATGATTCAAGGGGTACACTTGTATAAGGTGTAAACATATAGTTTCCAGTGAGAGCTGGTGACGTGAAATTACGCGTGTTGATTTTTTTTGTTTCTTTTTTGTTTTGACCGTACTTGCGCCAAGCGTTCGTTGGCCAAACAAGGCAGGAGGGGGGTAAATTATAACCATTTGTAACGAAAGGAGGGACTTTTTCTTTTTTATTTTTATGAGGTTCGTATGAGGAGATTTTATACTCATGGGTGTTTTGAGACTCGGCGAAAATTTTCGGACGACCGTACAAACATGAACTTATACAGTTTTTCTGTCGCGGAGGTTGATATACATATACATAAATAAATGAAAAATTCGTCAACAAACAGTTTGACGATTCAATCCTGGTCGGAGCAAATACATTTACACACGTACACAAGTGATTACCCATTAGTGGTACATTAACACAAAAATTGGATGGTATGTAAATGAAAAAAGTGCCATTTTCACAGCGAAACAGAGAGTAGAGCAGATTGTTTCTCTTGCCCTTTACCGTCAAAATTTCAATAAGCCAGCATTCCCGTACGGTATGATCACGAGATACTTCCGCGCGTATATTTTCATCAATCTCGCAAAAGTGGAGAAAAAAAAAAAACCCCCATCGATCCCCTCAAAGCTCGAAAATCGCTCGAGTACTAATCCCCTTACCTACTGGTCAAAAGTGGGCGTCACGTAAAAGAGAAACAGACCCATTGAACGACCACGCGGCCACCGGCGATACAATGTAGAGTCGAGTGAGCGACAACTGTACACGAGTATTACCTACACCTATACGCGAACAAGAGACGAGAGTACAAACAGATACGGATACTCTCAAAGGCGTGGGTATGTACAACGTAGGTGTACAGTTCCTCTCTCTCTCTCTCTCTATCGCGTTCACTTTTGATAACGAGATAACTTTCCGAGCTTGACGTTTAGTGTCCGTAAAAGCCGTCGTTTCCCGCAGACCGGCTATCTGACAAGGACACGCGGCTTGTACATCGGACGATCGGACTAATATGGACCGGAACGGAAGGAAAGGGGTGGAGGGAGGAAAATAAAAAAAGGAGAGAAAAAAGAGCCGGAGAGTAGAAAGAAGAGGGGTCGTACACCTTCATACCTATAGCTGCGCTCCTTTCTTCTCTTCTTCTTTTTTTTTTTTCTCTCCTTACTGCACTCACTGCGTTTTATTCCTCTATTCCCCATCCGGCAAATCGAAGCTTCACCATCAACGACGAGTTTGCACTGTCGCTCGTGCACACGGCACCCCCGAAGCGCCATTTAATGAGCTTTGTTTTTTCCGCTTTTATTCTATACTTGTTTACGTGACTTTTTTGTGCATATGTACACGCGTACTCGATCATGCAGCTGCTCTCCATTTATGTGTTTTCGTATCGAAACTATATTTTATCAACGAGAGAACAATGATGCCTCGAGTGCTCGGAAAAAAAATTTTTTTTTTTTTTTTTCATGTTAGTTTTCTCCGATCGGCACTTCCTCGAAATCGCATCGAATATGGCTCGGACAAAAATCTCAATCGCGCAATAACCGTAACCCCCTTGCGTGCGCTCGGCGTTGAGTTTTACGTTTCTATTTGTTTCTGGTATCGGAAAGAGGATATCGGGTTTTTCCCCCCCAAACTACTGGTCTACGGTGCACTATTTTTTTTTTATTTTTTGTACCTTCCAGTTCCACCAACAATGCAATAAAACTGATTGTCCTTTCAAAAAAAAAAAAAAAAAAAAAAAATACGTCCCTGCGTCCAAGATGATCCTCTTTCATCTCTCGATCGGCTTACACGGAGTGTAGAAAAACACGCGGTACCTCATCAGTCGATACACTTTTTTCATTTTTATTACCTACGAGTACTGCAAACGTGCAATTGTCAACACGGGTAATTTATTTTCACTCGAAAATACTCATCCCAACACTAATTTTTACATTCATGTACAAATTATATTACCAACATATTTTTCCAATCAACGGTTATATTATTTTTCATTAGCAAGAGAATATTACCTGTGAAAGTATGAAGCCAATTTTACGTAATTTCACGCAAAAATTGACATTGCAACAAAATTCGTTATAAAAGTTTGATTTTACCCGTTCCTACAACTTTGTTTCGCTGCGAAAATAATGCCACAGTTTACTGTGCTAAATATGACGAAAAATCGAGAGAAGTGAAGAAAAAAAAAAAACACTCGCCCAAAATAATAATCGCACAAAAGAACTTTGTTATCAATATATACATATAAGTATGTCATGGACGTGTCAAAAGGATATGTCGCGACACTCACGTGACTACAAACGTATGCACTCGAATTTTAAAGGATGGGTACACCAGTTGATACATATAATGTACACGAGGAATGAAAAAAAAGTGGAATAGTCAAGTGGTTTATTGCGAGTGTGTTGGCACATCATTTTTTTATGAAAAATCGATCGGACGTAATATTGCGATGGAGAGAAAAAAAACAATCCAAGTTTGCATACACGATTCAAGGGTCAAAGAAGAAAAGTGATGTATTGTTTTTTCTGCTTGAAATTTTTTGTCTAAAATATATTGTATATTGCAGACAAGCAGATTTGTGGAGGTGTAACGGAGAGCCGTCAAATATGGCATTTATATAAATATTATACATAAACATATATTTAATGTAATTTAGGTCGGAACTAAAAAAAAAAAAAAAAAAGAAGCCGAAATGTGTATAAAATATATACAACTGAATATGGTTGAGTATCTAGTCTATCGGACGGATGTATCTTGGCTAAGTAAAGTTAACTAGTTATTTATGTCCTCGATCCGAAAAATTATGGTTTATCGGCTAACGAAGGCAAAGATAATGTGTTATACATTAGTGACGAATACAAAATACGTGTTTATGTATTTAGAGCAGGCGTACATGTATTAATCAAAGAGGCTTCCGTACTGACGAATAAATGAAACAAAAACTAAAAAAAAAAAAAAATTAATTAAATAACTTTAAAAACAGCTATGTGACATTCCAAGCAAACGTGCCAAAAAACGATATTTGAGCTATCATGTGTAAGAACATAAACGTCGAATGAACTAAAAAAAATTTTTCTAAAGAACAAAGATAATAAGTATGTGATTTTTAAAAACGCGTCATCGAAAATTACTGCGGTCGAACACTCACAATTTTATCTTAGATCATAATGTGCGCATGTTAATAGCACAAAAGCACAAAAAGTATGCGTTTGTCTACTGAAAAATCTTTGTACTGTGAGCAAAGTTGGAATTTTGAATGGCCGTTGAAATGACGATGTTAAATTTTTCGTTTTGCGACATTTTTTTTAAAACGCATTTTTTAAATATCATAAAAACAATTTCATACAAAATATTTAAACTTTCACGATAATATTTTGTACGTTTTAAATACATTTTTCAAGTAAATTTGATAAAATTCATCATTATCAAAGTAAAATTTATTTCAAATGCCATTCAAGTTTACACTCAAATGATATCGTCGTTTTTCCGAACAGTCATACACATAATATCAGTATTATAAAAAAAAGCAGTAGATTTAAAAACTCAAAAACAAATGAAGCCAAAGAGATATAAGAAAACAAACATTGCATGGATTTATATGTATATGTATGTTGTAAAAAAACAAGATTGTTTAATAATAGTCTAGTCTTACTGGCCAAAAAATAATAATAGAGAATTAAAACGATCGATACTAAGAAGAATGAGATAAACATGGTAAACAGTATTACGTACAATACACGAGTACTAGGTACGCAATTTGTAAAAAAGGATACCAGTTGATTTTGACGTGGGGTAATGAAAAAAAATGATAAATGAAAAATTCCATTTCAATAACGAAACTGTGGACAATACTTTATTTATTCTATACGTGTTTGTTTTAAAATAAGACTATGTCGTGATGATTACATCTATATGAATTTTTTTTTATGAAACTAAAAAATTGATGTTTTTTTAAATTTGTACTTTATTCAAGTGAATGGTATTATTTGTAAGCACACCATAATATTTTTAATCACATGTACTTTCTAGCAATCAGATGTAGCATTTAATATGCGTTTACATTTAGGTAAAAATAATAATCAATTAAAAAAAAAATTTATATGGATGTATAAGCGACGGGGATCGAGTAAATATGAGTAAATTTTTTTCAACTTTTATACTTTTGAACTGCTTGAAACTGCTCTTTTCGTGTTTTAGATAAACCACAGATATATATATATATATATACATGTTTTTATTAACGGATTCAAATATTAAAAAAAAAATTTTTGTGCAATAAAATAAATCATTCAAAATAAAACAATAAAAAAAACATTCTTTTGGCAAATAATCTCAAGACCATTTTTATGCAACAAAAAAAGTGTCATTTGCTATTATCGATGTGTCATATACTACACTAGTTCTAACTTATGCAGTCATTTCCTACAAAGCTTCCAACTTTAACATAAACGTGTAGTTAACACATAATACAAAGTTACGAGCCGTAATATTATCATGTACCCAAATAAAAGCGCGTAGATGACAAAAAATGTTTTACAAGTTTTGTGGCGTTTGCAATCGAAGAGTATGGCACAACACGAGAAAAAAATATACCATCACAAACAGCGAAGTTATACTTGATCAACAATTTTATGAATTCGCGTGCGTGTACAATAACGGACGAGTTAATATTACCCAAAGTTTTGCATAAATAACTTTTATTAAACAACATTAATCACAACTAATCACAGCTATCATAAAAAACAAGTCCTTATGTATCTAAGACATGGG